ATTCTAGGCGTGCGATAGGGGATTGGGAGTGGTGCAGGGGAGATGTTGACTCGCTTCCCAAGCGTTTCAGTGTACTTAGCACCAGAGAGGTGAATGGATTCTGGGGCATAGGAGATATTAAGGCCTAGAAACTACTTCACCTAGTGATTAGTGATGATGTTGACGACCATCGCCAGGTTCATTTCAAACTTATCGAGCAGCGTGTTGCTCGTCCTTGTGTAGAGCAGATCATCTAAGTACACAGTGAGTAGGATCTAGTCGCTACTTGAATGTAGGTAATACATCCCGGGGACATGCCGCAGTTGTGTGAGTCCTATTTCGAGAAGAATTTTGTGCAGATGCTGCTGCCAGAGCCTCGGCTCTTGTTTGACCACGTAAAGGAATTTCTTGAGCTGACACACGCGCGATTCACCCTCGCCGTAAGTGTGTGGCTGCTCCACGGAAATCAGTGCATCTACTAATGCTGATAGGAACGAATTCTCTACGTCGATTTGACGGTTTAAGGAGATGCCTTGCTGCAGCGACCGCGAGTAGGATTCGCACGGAGGTATGGCGACTGACCGGGGTGAAGGCCCGCTCAAGATCTATGCCGTGCCTCTGGTCGTACCCACGTACCGCCCAGCGCGCCTTGAATCATTCGATGGTCCTGTCTGATGCGGTCTTCACGCGAAAGACCCGTTAGCGATTCTTTATTTTTGCGTATAGAATGATAGCGGGGAATGGAGCGTTTGATGTGGTGTAGAGTTCAGAGGTGCCGATGAATAATGGTGTCGGGAGAAGCGGGGCATGCGATGCGCCAGAGGTCTGCCCCACTGCTACTGGCGCTGTCCGTTTCCCGGGGTCCTTTCGTAGTTGCGGAGGTTTGGGCAGTGCCGCTTGATGTGACTGACTTTCCCGCACGAGTAGTACGTAAGTGTGGACTGGTTGCGTGTGCGCTGGTCCACTACACAGAGCTCCATGGGAGTAGGACCGTTGAAGCGGTTCATATGTCCAGCAGTGGTGGGCTGCCCGGTTCGACCTTGGAATCTCTGGTACGCTGCAAAGTTGATGGTGTCAAAACGCTCAGTGACACGAATCATCTTGTCCAACGTCGTAGCGCCGCGGAGTTCAACCTCGGTGCGGATTTTTGGCTTCAGACCACGCTTGAATTTGTCCATCTGTTCAGCAGCAGGGATGTCAGGGATCTCAAGCATGAGCTCGCGGAAGCGGTTGATGTACTCAACGACCGAGCGATGTTGGCGTAAATCAGCAAGGTTGTCACGTGCGCGCTCGATGGCGTTGACCGGTTCGAAGTTCATTAAGAGCGATGCAGAAAACTCCTCCCTGGTTGGAATCGTAGCATGGCAACTCTGCCACCAAGTAGCAGCTGCACCCCGCAGCATCATGCCGGCGTGTCGAGCCTACTCCGCCCGTTTGACATGACAAAGGGAGAGGTTTTCCTCCACTTGGAAAAGCCACCGTCGCACCGGTAAGTGACGTTTTCCAGGGATGAACGGTTCTGGTTCGGGTGCTTTGGGTCGTGCAGAAACCACAGCAGGTGCTGGCGCTGGCACCTATGTGCCCAGGAGTCCACGTTCCTGGAGTTCGCCAAGAATCCGGTCACGCACCTCGCGTTCAATCTCTCGGCGCATATTAGCAACAAACTCGTTCCAGAGTTCCGGCGTCATATCCGACGGCCCAGACATAGGGTCTAGAATATGGCAGGAGCGTATGAAATGAATAACCAGGCTCTGATTACAGTGAAACGTTGCTGGCAGGGAGGTATCAGCCTTAGTAGGCTTGAGTAGGCTTGAGTAACGAAGACAACATGCTCTCTGGAATTCTGTGGGATTTACAATATGCCTTCCCAAATTTGACAGTACAATTTTATAGAGCACATTCAGAAATCGAGTCGCACTACCAAGTCGCGACACCCTGAATTCCCTATTGGTAACCCTTCCCTTGTAAATGAACCTTGCCGTGAAATTCAGGGGATTTTTGCGGTACGGGATTGGTCGGCGAGTTTGATTACGGGGCTGTAATTTCGTCAGCGTGGTTGGCGAAGTCGGCGAGGCGTCGGAACTTGGGTGTTCTGCGTTTATTATTTTTCGCGCTAGGGTTTGACTTGGGCTGCGCGCCAGGACCTGGTCGCCCAGCTGCAGGTTGAGGCGCTTGACTAATCGGAGGTTTGGGTGAAGTGGCGGTTGACTTCCGCCCACCTGCACTGTACAGATGATGCCCACCCCATGCACGCGAATTTGCTCTGCACCGGATGGAAACGCTGCACCCGAGGTTTTTTCCCCAGTCTGTTGCACCCACGGTACAAGCGCGTCGCGGGGTTGTGAACCAATAGTAACGAACTGACTGAAGTCAAAATGAAGAGACTGAAGTCAAAATGTCAACGGATAAGGTTACAGATCCTTCATATAAGCACCTGCGAATCCTTTTAAGCTAGCTGCGAATTGACTAAAATTAGGCGAAATGCACGATTCAGCTTATACGCCCCCTTCACAAGGCAACAGTGAGGGGCTCAATCAGGCATCATGTGTACTTGGCAGCATTCGGCTGTTACACCCTCTTTCGCGTCTGTAGAGCATCTGTTTGCAGAACATACACGGGTTGTAGAGCGTCACCACGTTCAGAATGGTCTTGTCACCTACTGTACAAGCACAATGTGAAAAATACGGTTAGGTGAGGTGATGAACTTTAAAAACAGCTTTGTCAACGTTTTCTTTTGGGTTGAGAAGGGTATACAGCGATTACGGAATTTTTTCGCCCTTGAGCCAGTTTCTCACGTGGTTCGGTTTTCCCACCAGGGTTGCTAGGAACGTTTAATGGCACCAGATCGCAAGACAAGTACTGCAGCGACGAGTCGCGCAAGGTGAGAAGTTTGAGAAAGAGGGTGTACAACCACCCTTATCGCTGCCAGCGTGTCTAGCCGCAAGGTGACTGTGTGAGGTGCGCTCACCACCCTTGTCGCTTCCAGCGTGTCGAGCCGCGAGGTGACTGTGTGAGGTGCGTTCACCACCCTTCCTTATCGCTGCCAGCGTGTCGAATCGCGAGGTGCAAATAACAGCAGCGCAGCGTGACTCTGTGAGGTGCGCTCACCAACCTTCTTTATCGCTGCCAGCGTGTCGAGCCGCGAGGAACAGCAGCGTGACTTTGTGAGGTGCGCTCACCGCCCTTTCTCAACGTTCGATGCTACAGTGAACGCCAGCTCAACTGCAGCCAGCTCATTTGCAGCCAGCTCATTTGCAGCCAGGCACCCCACCCCAGCCAGGTTATCCCCATTCCCCACCTGGCCCACCTACCCTGAACACCATAACACCCAACCCAACCGCATTATTTTCCCAAACCCCTTACATCCACAGATGACACACCATACCACACCACACTAGAGGAGAGGCTTGTCCTACCAAAGCAAGGTAGGTAATAGCAATCAGCATCTACTTTCTGACTCGCGAATTTTAACTCAGCCTCGCAATTTCACAATTAGCCTCGCTACTTTCAAAAAAATCCTTGCTAATTCACAATCTGTCCTGCCCTGATCTTGACACCCCGCTCTCGGCGCCCCGCTGTCAACACGCTGCTTTGATTGCGCCAATGGCGTTATATCTGTGAGGAGGAAGGACTGTGCGAGCTATGCTAGACCGGGATGTGCACGCGCGGGTGCTTCGCGGCGAACGCGACGACATGCGCGGAGTTGCGGCGCTGACCGCGAAAGCCGTCAAGCAAGACGGGAACAAGCCAATCTTAAACCAACAACTCCAGGTCAGTGAACTGGACGAGTACGCACACTCTGGATATGCCACGCACTGCAGCTCACTAAATGCCCTCCCTTCCGCCAGATGTTTTTTCAAACTGCCAGCGCTGGCCCTACCAGGCGTGAAAGGCACACAAAGAAAATAGACAAAACTGATCAAGGATAGCCAAAAAACAAGAGATACAAACAGGAAATTGGAAGCATATGCTCTCTCCCTTCCTTTTGAAGCCCTTGTGCCTTCCGTTGTTCCCCTCCTCTTCATTCTGCCGCTATTCTGTCTCCCCCCCTCCTCCCCCCTGGTTTCGCCCCGCTCGTTCCCTCTCTCCCTCCAGCCGTTGATAGCACACCGCACCGCTGCTGCGTGCCTCTCCGCCAATCACGGTGGTCCATGTAACACTGCACTTCCACGGTAAGAGCAATGCGCAAGAACATTAATGAAAATACAAGTACAGAGAATAATAGAATCAGGAGAATGGAAGGATATGAAATACGAAGGTCACATCCAGCAATTGACAGCGTAACCCCTTTTGGATTCATTCTCCTGCACCCACTCTCTTTCGTTCAAACCCATTCTCTTCACCTCCTCCTGTCTCTAGATTTTTTTTTTTTTTTTTTTTTTTTTTTTGCCTTTTCCTGCTTTACCTTTTCTCCTTGTTTGACCCCTTCTCCTGTTTTGACCCCTTCTCCTGATTTGACCCCTTCACCTGATTTTACACCTCCTCCTGATTTCACGACTTCTCCTAATTGTACACCTTTTCCTGATTTTACACCTCCAGATTTCACACATTCTCCTGATTTCACACGTTGTCCTGTTTCCTGATTCACCCTTCCTTATCGCTGCCAGCTATGGTGCCCTTGTGTTCTCCCCTCCTTCACCCCTTTCCATCACTTCTACCGTCCTTGTGCCTATCCCACTTCCTTCCTTATTCCCTGTGTTTGCCCGCCCTTTGAGTCTCCCCCCACCCCCCCTCCACTCTCCGCCCTCCCCCCTGGTTCCATCCCGCTCGCTCCCTGCCACTCTCCAGCCGTCGGCAGCACATCGCGCAGCCGCCGCGCTCCTCTCCGCCAATCACAGCGGTCCATGTGGCACTGCACTTTCGTGGTAAGAAGAAACCGCCTAAATATTTAATAATAACAAGTACAACATGAAAGATCATGGAACATGAGAGCTTCTGAAATAGCTTGCAACTTTTGGGTTCATTCCCATGAACCCACTCTCTTTCCCCCTCACCCACTCTCTTCTCCTTCCCCTTGTCTAATGATTTTACCCCTTTATCATTTCCTCCCTTCCCTTCATTTCCCCCCACCCACCCATTTCTGGCCCACCCATCCATTTCTGGTCCACCCATCCATTCTGGCCAACCCACCCATTTCTGGCCCACCCACCCATTTCTGGCCCACCCACCCATTTCTGGCCCACCCACCCATTTCTGGCCCACCCACCCATTTCTGGCCAACCCACCCATTTCTGGCCCACCCACCCATTTCTGGCCCACCCACCCATTTCTGGCCCACCCACCCATTTCTGGCCCACCCACCCATTTCTGGCCCACCCACCCATTTCTGGCCCACCCACCCATTTCTGGCCCACCCACCCATTTCTGGCCCACCCACCCATTTCTGGCCCACCCACCCATTTCTGGCCCACCCACCCATTTCTGGCCCACCCACCCATTTCTGGCCCACCCACCCATTTCTGGCCCACCCACCCATTTCTGGCCCACCCACCCATTTCTGGCCCACCCACCCATTTCTGGCCCACCCACCCATTTCTGGCCCACCCACCCATTTCTGGCCCACCCACCCATTTCTGGCCCACCCACCCATTTCTGGCCCACCCACCCATTTCTGGCCCACCCATTATTTTCTGGCTCACCCCGTGCGCTTCTCTTCTCCCCTGTATCAGGTAACCTAGTTACTAGCGCCTGAGGCAACTTGGTGACAACTCGGCCATAGTTTTTGTGGTTACTGCTGCCATGGGTAAAAGGTTCAGCATCGCCGCTGGCAAGGCAACCAGGAAATTACCCTACCACCCGTAACCCTGTTCCCCTCCCTTTGCCACATGTAAGCGGGGCTATTACGGTATCATTACCGCAGTTGATCAGGCTTCCAGTTTCTGAGGTACTTGGTTGGTTTACCACTACCACTGTTGATTTTGGTACCACCATCACACGTAACCAGGTGAGTATAAGGAACTCCATTGCCGCCGCTGCCACTCACCGAGGTAACCGTGTTACCACTGCCATTGTTCACGTGTTACTACAGCCATTGGTAACCTGTGTTACCAATTCCATTGTTATCCGTGTTACCAATGCCATTGTTCACATGTGTTACCAATGCCATTGTTTGTTCACATGTGTTACCGCTGCCATTGCTTGTTCACATGTGTTCCCGCTGGCATTGTTTGTTGACATGTGTTACCGTTGCCATTGTTTGTTCACATGTGTTCCCGCTGCCATTGTTTGATCACATGTGTTCCCGCTGGCATTGTTTGTTGACATGTGTTACCGTTGCCATTGTTTGTTCACATGTGTTACCGCTGTCATTGTTTGTTCACATGTGTTCCCGCTGGCATTGTTTGTTGACATGTACGTTGCCATTGTTTGTTCACATGTGTTACCGCTGCCATTGTTTTTTCACATGTGTTACCGCTGCCATTGTTTGTTCACATGTGTTCCCGCTGGCATTGTTTGTTGACATGTGTTACCGTTGCCATTGTTTGTTCACATGTGTTACCGCTGTCATTGTTTGTTCACATGTGTTCCCGCTGGCATTGTTTGTTGACATGTACGTTGCCATTGTTTGTTCACATGTGTTACCGCTGCCATTGTTTTTTCACATGTGTTACCGCTGCCATTGTTTGTTCACATGTGTTCCCGCTGGCATTGTTTGTTCACATGTGTTACTGCTGCCATTGTTTGTTCACATGTGTTACCGCGGCCATTGTTTGTTCACATGTGTTGCTGCTGCCATTGGTGACCGTGTTACCGCTGCCATGGGTAACCCATATTAACTCTGCCACGGGTAACCGTGTTACCGCTGCTATTGTTATCCGTGTTACAGCTGCCAATGGTAACCTGTGTTACTGCTGCAATTGTTAACCTGTGTTATTGCTGCCATGGGTAACCGTGTTACCAGTCACATGCCGAGTATGCTGCCGCTCGCGGCGCTGGTTACACCTCACACCTGCCATTCCCCCGCACCCACCCGGCCCCACCCCACCTTGCGCAGGTGGCATTCTCTCCTGCGGGGCGCTGTGAAGTGAAGGCTCTCTTGTGCACGTTGAAGGTACGAGAAACGGATAGCAAGCACATGAAGTGGGAAATGGTAGCAAGGACGTCTGTATGTATAGATAGGAGCCACCTTGGGCGGACTCTGGGAGGTCCGGGCAGACCCCAGGTGGTGCGGGGCCAGAGCCGGGGAGGTCTGTTGGCGAGTGAACAGGAGCATGAACTGGAGCATGGACAGGAACACGAGCAGGAACAGTAGAAGGATCAGAATCAGGAGCAAAAACATGAGCAGGAATAGAGCAAGCAGGGAAATACCCAAGTGACATCCAAGGGTAGAAAAGAGAAGGCCTTGAAGGGCCCAGAGTGTAGAGGGGCAGTTATGTCCGATGAGAGAGGGGGGTAGGGGGCCGTGATGGGGGGCTGTGTAGGGGGCTGTGAGGGGATTTGGGGGTTGGGGGGCCTTGGGGGGCCTTGGGGGGGCCGTGGGAGGGTTTTTTCTCGCTTCTCGTTATTGTCCCTCCTCTTATTGTCCACATTCCGCTTTGTGTACCACGCCACTCTGTTATTATCCTATTCTTAATACCGTATGGCCCCGGATATAAGCGCAGGCCTATTAAAAGCGCATGCGCTTGTATCTGGAGCAATGCGCTTATGGCCGATCCTCAATTATAAGCGCACCCCTTATAAAACCCTGATATATTATAAGCGCATGCGTAATTTTATTTATAATTCTTCATTAAAACGGTAACGAATCTCAGTTTTGCAGCGAGGCCACAACCCATTTTCGCTTACATTGACTTTCGAAGACCTCTCACATCCTGCGCGTCCAGTCAGCACGAGCTGGCACGCCCTCAAAGTGAGGTGTTACACTGTATTTTGCCTCTGGGCGCTCGCGAAGAATCGCCCGCGCGCGATTTTGACATGTGACTTTCTACAATTTCGATTCGATTGAAATTTGAAGGATGAGATGTACAATTTGGTGCATTGAAATATATATTTGTATTTGTTATATTATAAGCGCATGTGCTTATAATTTTTACTCAATTATAAGCGCACCCCCCAAAAAACACTGTTTTATTATAAGCGCAGGTGCGCTTATATCCGGGGTAATACGGTACGTTATTACTACCATTGCTCTTGTGTATTGCCTCTTTCTTAATCTTACTATTCATTCCTTGTCCTCTCTCCCCTCTCTCGAGCCCATCCAATGTACGGCGGTTCCAAACGACCGGCTGAAAGCATGACACGACACAAAAGGAGCCACGGACGTGCAGAACCAGTCCGTGGAGGGTCATATGTACGCGAGAATACGGTATATGCATCTGGGCGCTATATTTTCTTAGCATATGTGACCGCCCCCCAAATTGTTTATTTGGAATCTAAGAGAGCACCATGGGATGTTATATTCGGGGGAATATGGTGCATGCTTCCTGTCCTACAAAGGCCTACAGGCCAACAGTACTCAGATCCCCTTACGCTACACGTGCAGAGCTGGCATTTGAGTGCCATAGAAGCTCGTCTGTCTGTGAGACCCATCTGTGGAGGTAAGTCTTGTTGAAGTGAACCCTGTGGGTAGTAATGTCCTGCTCAAAGCCATGGCCTCCCCCGCATATGTTGGATCCAGCCAGGAACGCATGGGCATGTGCGCACAGAAGCTTGTCCAATATGGCCACGATGCCTGCATGGACGGAACGGAGAGGAGATAGCGGGAAAGGAAGAGGAGGTGCGTAGGAAAAGGGTGAGGGTTGGCATGGCACACAGGAACAGCTGGCTGCACTCTTTTGGAAGTGCACTCTTTTGGCTGCACTCTTTCTGTTGGCTGAAGGAGCAGGGGCGTGGGACAAAGTCTTTGGCAGGCAGATCTTGCCACGTAGCTGCCTCCCAAGCGCCCAAGCAGCCACTCAATCAGCCATCTAATAGCCGCCCAAGCACCCAAGAAGCCGCCCAAATCGCCATCAAAGCAGCCATCGAAGCAGTTACACATCAAAGAAGCCACCCACCCAAGCAGAGTGCACTGACCGGGGTCATACTGGTTGATGGCGGGCAAGAGCTAGTCCACCATCACAGTCCCCGCCACCTGCTCCCTCAGCCACCGCAGCTTCTCCTGTGGGGCCTGCAGCACCCTCTCTTGCCCTTGAAACTTCCACGTGGTCTCTTTTCACGAGTCCGACCGCACCACGCTGCCCGCCTTGTCGTCAAATGGCACGTCGGCGGCGATGAAGACGGCGGAGATGTTGTGGCGGCGCTTCATGTCGTTGATGAGATCGCGCGCCGCTTCCATGCACCCCGTCATCAGCTCCTCCAGCACGCCTGCCTCCGCCTTGAAGCCTCTTCGCACTAGCTTGTGCGCCTACAGAGTGTGGGTGAGGTGGGATTGCGGCAGCAGTGAGATGCGAATCAAAGTGACTTGTGAGTAATTTTGTGTCCCCTCAAAAGCCAAGTGTCCTCGAATGTGGAAGGCGATGAACTCACGAGGTGGAAGGCGATGAACTCACGAGGTGGAAGGCGATGAACTCACGAGGTGGAAGGCGATGAACTCACGAGGTGGAAGGCGATGAACTCACGAGGTGGAAGGCGATGAACTCACGAGGTGGAAGGCGATGAACTCACGAGGTGGAAGGCGATGAACTCACGAGGTGGAAGGCGATGAACTCACGAGGTGGAAGGCGATGAACTCGGAGCGATAATGTACCGGAATGTACCGCTGGGGAAGGCGGGCCATGGCTCGATGGGCCATGGCGTGCCACGCCCGGCTGTATGGAAGCATCTGGAACGAGATGGCGCTGGTGGGAGGGTTAAAGTCCACCACACCGAAGGTGCTCTTCATCCACACCAGCACGTCCGTGTACCGCCTGCAGGCATGGAGGTGCCATACAAAGGATGCACAAAGGATGAAGAAAAGGGCAGAATTGTGGTCAGGTCGTTTGAAAGATGGGTGTGCTGCCTAAGATGGTTGCATTGCAATTGCCGGTATGTGTGACACTCGATTGTTTTGACAAGCCATGTTGCAACGGCAAGCTCTAAGTTGCAGTGGCAGGCCTTGGGTTGCAGAAAGAGGAAAAGGGCGGAATGGATATGTTCCAAGAGGTGAACACATCACAAGGTGATGAACCCACAACTCATGAACTCACGAGGTGGAAGGCGAATGGGTCATGAACCCACGAGGTGAACACATCACAAGTCATGAACCCACGAGGTGAACACATCACAAGTCATGAACCCACGAGGTGAACACATCACAAGTCATGAACCCACGAGGTGAACACATCTCTAGTCATGAACCCACGAGGTGACGCACCACTTGTACAGCTTCTGGAGAACTGCAGTGCTGTTGGTGGGCATGATGATATCAACACTGTTGTGCCTGGATGGCGCGTACCCCATGCCATACACCATCAGCTCACCCAGCATGTCCACCAGAGGCCCTGCACACCAAGATGCAACGAAACGAATGCTTTTTTTATGCATTTCCAGACCAGATGTCATATGATGGGATGCTACGGCATGGCCGGAAATGGCTACAGATTGCAGTGTCAAATGTGACGTTTGGAAATGGCATGGCACTAGAGGCATGAAGGGCGTGCGCCATCTGTGGAGAATGACTACTTGCTTCGAGTGAAGGGCATGCGCCATAGGTAGGAGGACTGCACATGCACAAAGGCCACGGACGGGGTGGCGCCAGGTGCAGCAGCAGCAAAGGGGAGGTCGAGAGCGGCTCTAGCGAGGAGCAGGAAGAGGCCGGGCGAGATCCAGTGGGCGTTGAGACGAGATAGGTTGAAGTAGGTGCAGAGTGGCAGGGAACGTGCGAGTGAGAGGCGGCTGCGACTGGCCTGCGATGATTTGCATGTGGGGGAGGAGGGGAAGAGGACTGAGGAAGGGAGATCCAGTGGGTTTTGAGACGAGACAGGTTTAAGTAGGTGCAGAGTGGCAGGGAATGTGCGAGTGAGAGGCGGCTGCGACTGGCTGCCATGGTTGCGACGGGGAGAGGGAGGAGAGGGGGAGAGGGGGAGACGGGGAGACGGGGAGGAGGGGAGAGGAGGAGAGGGGTTGGGGGGGGAATGGAATGATAAAGTGGGGATTTGAAAGACAGCAAAGGAAGGGGAGGCCCACAGAGAGGAAGGGGAAACATAAGCAGAAGAGGCGGGAGACAGGAGAGAGTGTGTAGTGAAACGTGCAGAGTGGTGCTTTGGGCACCAAGGGGAGTGGTACATTGGGAAGCGATGGAGTGGTATAGCTGTCCGTGCCATAGACCACCGGGCCACAGCGGGGGTTATCCAGAGCCAGAGCGGTTGCCTTTCACATTTTCGTCACATAAGCCCGCAGGCGTTTCCACGGAAGTGGTGGTACCTTGGGCAGCACGAGCGTGCGGTTGGTGGCTTGGGCGAAGCGGGCGGCCTCTGCAAGGTGAGAGCGCGTGTTGGAGAGCTGCTCGTCGGAGTAGGCGAATACGAGGAACTTGCGCGCCCTGCTGGCCTGCGGGTGGAATAAAGGGCATGGGGCCGGGGGGGGGGGAGGGGGGGGGTGCTTAGAAGTGTCATTAGTGCTTGTGTGCCCTAATGGACTGGAGGGGATGTCGTGGAGAAAGGGGAAACGGGGAAGGCTCGGGGGAGGAAGACTTGAGGAGGGGGGTGTGAAGGGGTGCAGGGGAGTACTAAGAGTCGCTTGTTTGAGTGGGCAAGGTGAGAAAGCTTGCGTGTTGCGATGGACGAGGGGAGGAAGGCATTAGGGTGAGGAAGGAGGGGGGATAAGGAAGGGGATGGGGAGCACCATGACATCGGAGAAGGGCATGCGAGGCACAGGCCAGCACGCCTCAGGCCACGTGCTGCACTTAGCTACTGCTGCTTCTCTGGATGCTGCTCCTGCTCCTGCTCCTGCCCCTGCTCCTGCTCCTGCTCCTGCTCCTGCTCCTGCTCCTGCTCCCGCTCCTGTTGCGCCTCCTGCTTCAGCTACCAGCACCTTCCCACCCTGGCCACCCGCGTTGCCCTTGCCACCGCACTCGCCGACCAGTCTAGCCTCTATCTCGCGCACCCCGCGGCACACAGCATCCACGCCCGCTTCTATCCGCGCCAGCGTCGTCGCGTTCCGCCTCAACGACCTCCGCACGTTCCCACTCGCTGCCGCTCGCGCCAGTGCCGCCCGCCGCCAGGCCGCGGAGCACAGCAGCACGGCGGAGTCTGCTGTCACAGCAGCACCAGCAACAGCAGCAGCAGCAGCAGGTGCAGCGACAGGAGCAGCAGGACCAGCAGCAGCGGGAGCAGAAGCAGGAGTAGGAGCAGCGAGAGACGCATGAGCAACACGAGCAGCAGGAGCAGTAGGAGCAGCAGGAGCAGCAGGTGCAGGAGCAGCAGCTGCAGCAGCATTGCCAGGGCTGAGAGAGTCAGCAACTGCGCTCTTACTAGTTGTGTCAATGGTGCTGGTCACGCCACTGGCGCCGGTGTTGGTACTAATTTCAGTACTACTAGCAGTGGTGCTGTCGGCGGTAGTACCACGGCTATCGGTGGGGCTACTGGCAGGGCTGTGACCTTCGCGAGTGAGCTGCAAGTGGGGGCTCGGCAGCAGCTCCGCCTCGGCCTCTCTCAGCCTGACCTCTGCCGCCCACTGCCGCAGCGCGTTCAGTAGCTCCTTTCTGCATGCGGCTGCGGCACGCCGCTTCTGCGGCGGAGTCAGTACCGGGCTGGGCCCATCGGCGGGTGAGTTACTCATGGCCGTCACGCACGAATCGCTCGAGAGATGATGGGCATGCGCCGAGCTGTCTCCTCTCGCCGTTTGGCTGTCTCCCCTCGCCGGTTGGCTGTCTCCCCTCGCCATTTGGCTGTCTCCCCTCGCCGGTTGGCTGTCTCCCCTCGCCGGTTGGCTGTCTCCTCTCGCCGGTTGGCTGTCTCCCCTCGTCGCCGGTCGCTTATAAGCGGTTCGACGAACCATACTGAGAGGTTGAATAGGAAGAGGCGCAGGAAGCACAGGAGCAGTGAGATTAAGGGAAGCAGTGGCGGCGGGCTTGGTTGGCAGGGGATCGTCGGTCGGGTTTTTTAGAGAGGGGCGATAACGGAGTGCGACGTCATTGTGGAAGGCGAAAGGAGCGTCTGACAGTGACGGTGCTGTGAGTTGATGGTAACGTGACACTCGAGTGAGGCACGAGAGGACGACGAGGACCGCGAACGCGGCGCGCAGAACGGAGTTACCAGTACTAAGAGCTCGCGCGGATCCCATGATTTTCCGCGACCCGCCGTAGCACTCGCATCACTCAAAGCGAGACGGCCATCGTCCACTAATTAGTACTAACTTTCCTGCTGTCGTACAAGCGCCGCGAAATTCACCGCAGTCGAAGTACAACTCAACAAAATTCACAACGCCTCAGACTATGCCCAAATTTCGGATTTCCTCATGTGTGCGCACTAACCATTGCACGAGCAATGGCTACGGTAACTTCAAACAGTGCTTAGGAGGGTGAGCATTGCTCGACATGTGCTGAAAGAGTGTAATACAATGTCCCCCCTTTCCCATTGTCTCTACAGCTGCTAGCAGTTCCGCATCCAAGGAGCCCCGCACGTGCCAATTTCGTTTGGTACAGTGAATTTGCTCTGGTTGAGTTGGATGCACAGTGGTGTCGAACCTGCATGAATGAGAGAACTGACTTCACGTTTGAATGAACGGAATTTTTAAGCCGTTATAACAAAGCAGGCTATAGCGACTTTGAATCAGATAAGGTGCTGCTGACGCGTCAGAAAACAGCGTCACTTCTGAAGGTGCGCTGTCACAATCAGATGTGACAGCGGGAATGTGGTTTGGGCAAGGGTGGCGAATTTAAACACAAATGGCGTAGGGTTTCCATATCGCCAAATTCGTCAAGCTGCTAGGCAACCAAGGTAGTAGGATGTTTCGAAACACACCGTTTCGTGCTTTCGCCAATCCTCACGTGTGACACAACACCACACTGCTACCTACTGTTTTGCGAGATACTCCTCCCCCCCTCCTTCAAACTCCGTCCAGAACTCGCCACCTCTTCATTTTCACGTCTTGGAAATTTCGCCTACCGTTTTATTCACTCACTCAGCTGCTTCTCTTCTCTGGCTGTTCCTAAATATTTGACTCTGCCTGCGCGTTCTAAATTCTTGTCTCGTACTGTTCTTGCATCCTCCCTCTTGCAGGCTATTGAAAGACTGCTGTGGCGGACGGTTCTGCTTTTTAGTTTGACTCGCCGTATGAAGCTGGCGATTAGACACCTTGTCACGCCCCACGCCCACTGGTAAATAAATAAATAGCTCAGGTGAGTTCTGGATTCTCCTAAAAACGCCTTGTCTACTGCGCTTGTGAGTAGTTGTTTCTTTGCAGAATACCAGCGCTTCTGACAACACTATATTTCCGCGACTTCCGTGATTATCGCCACGAGTCTCAGTTTTATTTTCAAGCTGACATTTTCCAGAAGTTTTTCCGCCATCTTATCGCCGAGCAAATCACGGTTCTTCTCACACTGCAGTTACCTTCATAACAAGGGCATGACTGATCGGTAGGTTCATGTCGTTTACGTTTGCTGTGTTGGCCTTAATTTGCAGCGTGTGCTACTGTGTGCAGAACCTTTGTCCTGCTTGAAATAAGATACTGTGTATCATTATTGGATGATCATTTTGATGTGTGGATGTTGTAGGATGTTGGGATCTGTAATTGGTAAGGCTGACCAGGTATTGTAAATATGTTTGTCAGTGATGTATGGTAGGACTTGAAATATAAGATCTACGTGTAGTTACATTCCTCAGCAAATAACAATTAGTGTGTCACGATTTTAAGGTTTCATTATAGCCCACCCATTTTCATTTTCTTTACGTTTTTTCTGTAGTTTAGGATTGTCTGAGTGTACTGTGGTTCTTTAATCCGTTATAAAGGGCTCCTAAATGATTTATTCCGGTTTCTGTAGTGAGGATGAGCAATGCTTGTCGTATGCTCTCAAATGTTCATACGAGCCATGTCGGAAAAACACGGGCGAATCCGCGACCGCTTCCGCCTGCTCGCGGAAGCGATCTGCCCGCGGGCAAGAAAAATACTAAAACCCACTCGGAAGGCATGCGGCTCGGGAGCATCAACCCTAAAATTTTAGGGTTGAGGCTCCCGAACGGCATGCCGCTCGCGATGGGGAATAGTTTTTTTTGCCCCGGGCAGAAGGCTTCCGCCGGCTCCGCGTCCTGGTGGATTCGACTTCCACCAGGAGAGGGACCTGGTGGGTTTGCGCCCACCAGGGCCCGTAGGAACTCGCATTGCTTGCCGAACCTGATTGAACATTGCTCATGCACACCTTCCAATGATTCTTTGAAGAAACCTCGACCGTTGAGCATTCCTCTAGATAAACCAACAACATTGTTACCCTGAAAGTACTTTTAACATTGCCGAAGCATTCTATGAACAATGTTTTGGCAGTTTGAATTTTGTTGAGAAGCCGAGCCCACCGCTGTCGTTCAAGCAGAGCTCACGCTCGGCGGTTGGCCGGTCTGAGAGCACTAACTCGTTGACCTTTGTACCACTAGCAGTAGTAGTAGTCAGCTAGCGGTTCTCAAAACACGAGCAGCAGGTTCGTGACCTCATAATAGGGAGGAAACTGGTGGGAAGAGATCTGGGTTGGAATTGAAGGCCGGGCTGGAGGGGAAAGGAGGCGGAACGAAAGCGGAAAGGCTGGTGATAGGCGTTGGGGAATCGCCGCATCATGGCTTACGATGCGAGTTATTGCTGTCAGAACATTATAGCTTATGCTGTTGTGTAGGCTATAGTGGGGTATCCCATAGGGGGTACAACCAATTAGGGTTTCATATTTGTACTCACTTCATTTCATAGTTCATCCATTTTTTCTTGTTCAAATCTTCTCATGGTATCGAGCAGGTTCCCCCTTGGGAACTGTGCTTAGGGCCCACCACATCGATTTTTTTTTCCTGCCCGAAGCGCGCTCAGCCCGAGTCGCGCTTCGGGCCCTCACTTCGTCGAGCCGCCCTAGCGGCCCTGCACTGCGGCCCCGCCACCCGTCTCCGCGGCCCCGCCGCCCGTCTTCGCGGCCCCGCCGCCTCTCTCCTAGCGGCCCCGCCGCCCTACCCAGCGGCCCCACCGCCCTACCTCGCGGCCTCGCCGCCCCATTGCGCGGCCCCGCCGCCCTACCTAGCGGCCCCGCCGCCCCATCGCGGCCCCGCCGCCCCATCGCGCGGCCCCGCCGCCCTATCTAGCGGCCCCGCCGCCCTACCTAGCGGCCCCGCCGCCCCATCGCGCGGCCCCGCCGCCCCATCGCGCGGCCCCGCCGCCCCATCGCGCGGCCCCGCCGCCCTTCCTCGCGGCCCCGCCACCCCATCGCGCGGCCCCGCCGCCCCACCGCGCGGCCCCGCCGCCCCATCGCGCGGCCCCGCCGCCCTACCTAGCGGCCCCGCCGCCCTTCCTCGCGGCCCCGCCACCTTCCCTGCGGCCCCGCCCTTACCTGCGGCCCCGCCGCCCTCTGCTGCGGCCCCGCCACCTTACCAGCGGCCCCGCCGCCCTTACCTGCGGCCCCGTGCCCTGCAGCAGCACAGCCGAGCCGCCCAGCAGCCGAGCCGCCGAGCCGCCCAGCAGCCGAGCCGCCCAGCAGCCGAGCCGCCGAGCCGCCCAGCAGCCGAGCTGCCCAGCAGCCGAGCCGCCCAGCAGCCGAGCCGCCCAGCGGCCGCGCCGCCCAGCAGCCGAGCCGCCCAGCAGCCGAGCCGCCCAGCAGCGGAGCCGCCGAGCCGCCGGGCCGCCCAGCAGCTGAGCCGCTGAGCCGCCGCGCCGCCCTCCTTCAGGGCCGCCCGACCTGCCCAGTCTGGTGAGCACAGCGCCTTTTCACTGCACTGTCCTCACCCCACTGTTTGCGCTGCTAGTCGTCTAGGGTCATGGCTACCCCTAGTGTTCTCGCCTTTGACGCTGAGGGTAGGGCCATTGACTTTGAGGTCTGGGTAGATGACCTGCAGCTGTTCTTACAGTGCGATAGGGCAGACGGCCTCTCTCTCTTTGACCTCACCTCTGGCACCTCCACTGCCCCTGCTGCTGATGCTGACGCCACTGTTCGCTCCCAGTGGGCCACGCGCGACGCTGCTGCACGTCTTGCTGTGCGTCGCCACCTCCCTACCTCCGAGCGTGCGCACTTTAGTCAGTACAAGAGTGCTCAGACCTTGTACGACGCTGTAGTTGCGCGCTACTCCTCCCCTGCCACTGCTGCACTGAGCCGTCTCATGCTACCGTACCTCTTTCCTGATCTTACTGCCTTTCCCACAGTCACTGACCTCATTACGCACCTCCGCACTAGTGACACTCGCTACCGCGCTGCACTCCCTCCTGACTTCTGCGCCAGGAACCCCCCCCCCATGTACATCACTCTTTACTACATAGTCACTCGCCTTCCTGACTCCCTTCGCGTAGTCAGGGACCACTTTCTCTCTGTCTGTCCCACCACTCTCACTGTTGACCTCCTCGAGAAGTCCCTCCTAGCGGCCGAGAAGAGCATAGTCGCTGTAGGGGCCTCTCGTGGTGACCCGCGCACCCCCATCTTTGAGGGGTGTTCCCCCTCCCCCCTTCTGCCCTCTGTTGCCTCTGCTGCTGCGGCCGACCTCCTTGTTCTTGAGTCGGTCGGTGCGGCGTCTGCCCCTAGCGGGAGACGCCGCTCTGGCAAGGGCAAGGGGGGCAAGGGTGCTGGAGGAGCGAGCGGGGGCGGTGGAGGTGGAGGTGGCGGCAGTTGGGGGAGTGGGGGTGGCGGTGGGAGTGGAGGTGGGGGTGGAGGGGTCGGTGGCGGCAGTGGAGGTGGAGGTGGCGGCGGCGGTGGCGGTGGGAGCGGAGGTGGCGGAGGTGGCGGAGGTGGAGGCGGCGGCGGAGGCGGAGGCGGCGGCAGTAGCGGAGGCGGCGGAGGCGTCGGAGGCGGCGGGGGTGGCGGTGGTGCTGGTCGCGGGTCTTCGCAGAGGAGTGGCTCCGGTGGTGGCTCGCGCCAGCAGCAGCAGCGTGGTCGTGACACCCTGTCCCCTCAGCAGCTTCGTGAGTGGTACACTGCGCAACAGCGGGGTGGGGGTTTTGGTCCGTGCTCCTACGTTTTGCGCACTGGCGACCGTGCGGGTGAGCAGTGTGGGGGTGCCCACCCCACCCAGCGCTGCTTTGGCCGCCTGACGGACGCGTGGCGTCACCAGTTCCCGGAGGCCTCCGAGATCCCTCGCTGGGGCGAGCTGTCTAGGGCGGGTGTTGCCATC